ATACTTTATCTTTAGCTATCCTATTTCTATTAGCTACTAACGAACCGGGCGGTTAATCTATTAACTCCGACTAGTAGCTTCTTTTTCTCTTCTTTTTCTTCTTTTCCGTACTAGCTATATCGCTATAGGTTATAGGACCCTCCTTCTCTATCCGTTTTATAAGTCGATAGGACCTATAAGTGTTATATAGTAGAGTCGGAGGGGTTTCTATAGTCGCTTCTTTAGCCTAAGAAATAGGCTCGGTCGCGCCCCTAGTAATTATAAGTCGAGCTTTATAAACTAAAGCGACTATTAATAATCTATTCTTTTAGACGTTAGCGGGGGCTAACTTACTATAATTAGTAGCGTAGGCGATAACTAGATTAAGATACTCCTTACTATCCTTAATTCTATAAATTATAAATAGCTCTCGTATCTTCTAGGCTATTAGACCTAAAATAGCCTTATCTATAGCGGGCGATAATAATAGTAAAAGATAAAGACTATATCTTTTATTAATAAAGATAGAAATCCTTCTAGAACGTTCGGGGTAACGGTTACCCTCTAGTTAGGGGGAGGGAAGAATAAGCTAATTAAATTAAATATAGATAAGGCTTATAAAAATAGTATTAACTAGGCTAAGGTAAGACTTAACCGGGATTAACCCCCTCTTTTTATTATATTTATATCGGCTATTTATATATTAAAGAGTAAATAAATTAAACTATACTATTATATAAATAGTTCTTTCCGTAACCTTTACTATTAGGATAGGTATAACGCCTATCTAGTATATACCTTACGCGTAAGGATAGGATAGAGCTTTAAGGAATATTAGTATCTACGCCTAAATTTTCGAATTATATCCTTAGGCGTCTCTCCGTATAGTTTATTCTAAAAATAGGACTATTCTCGATACGCTAAAACACTAACTATAGGAATAAATATAAAGCCGATATATAGCTATACGATATTCTAGGCTAAGTAATATCCTAAATTATATATAATATCGGTCGGATATAGTAAGAAGTCGATTTTTTATAGAAATCGAGGCTCGACTTAAGACGTTAAGATAAATATTTCGGGTATTTAGGATATAGGTAAACGTCTATAAATATAAGTAACTTAGATAATTTTGTGATTAACTCTAAGTTAACTATTAAATAGTTAAACCGGAAATAGTAAAGGTTAGTTATATTAGTTATTTAAAAGTAGTAATAAAAAGTAATAAACGGATAGTAGGTAAGAGATATAGCCTCCTAGATAAGAGTATAGTGGTTAATTACTACTAATTACTACTATTAGCCGAATATACCTACGCTTCCTAGGCCCTATACACTATCACGTATATCTCCTAAACCTTAAGTCGCGCTCTAAGTTAACTACGTGAAATCGTTTAGGCCTCTATAGTCGGTCGATCTTATACTACGTATTTAATAATAGCTATTTAGTTAACTAAAAAAAAAGATACTTTCTACGATAACTATACCGTAGAATAAATAAGGGTAGAATAATAGTGTATAAGGAGCTATAAATAAGTGTTAAAGGCTAATTAATACTAGTGAAAGGATAAAGGTTAACGGGTAAGAGTAGGTTTATAGCTAGTGATTAACTAATTAAATTAATTGTCCCTCGGTAATCTAACTATAAAATGGTCGAAAAGAATAATAAACCGATTAATTCATTTTTTTTTAAAAAAAACGTAGTGAAAGAAATAGGGTGTTTATTAAGTTAGATTGGCTACGGGAAACTCCCCACTATTAATCATCCTTTGGCATGCCCATTTTTCCGCCATATTCTCTAGGCCTCAAGTACCGTTCCTATTCTAGTTAGTACCTGACTAGTTATTTTGGGGAAAATAAAATAAAAAAAGGCTCTTAAGGCGAGAACCTTAGGCTAGCTACGCTGTATAGTTGACCGAATTTTCTAAAGCAGACATTTATTGTTTACTTTTAGCCCTCAAAATCAGAAATTCCTTATTATTAACGGACCTCGACGTGATGCATTCTACATTTACGTTCATCACCTACTAGAGTGACCGTTTCGGATTTTTGCTAGTTATAAACTCGGAAACCCGTAGTTTCTAGAGCGCACTCCTCGATTGCCTCTAGCCGTGGTTTTTAACGTAAATTCGGCCCGCTATAAATCTATCACCTACGGGGGGACCGTTTTAGGTATTTATTAGCTATAAACTCTAAAGACCACGGTTTCTAGATTATACCACTCCTTTTTAACGCGAAAACCTACGAATATAAAGAGGACCGTTTTATACGTGTTTATAGCCTTAAGAATCCCTAAGAGCCACTTCGTCTATACCTACGACTATTTAGGTTGCCGTTTCCTTTAGTCTTCTCTAATAGTGACGCGTCTCTTTATATAGCTTCCGCTTCTTCCGCCTAGTGTAATCGATCTAAATCGGTTAGAAAGTCTAAGCGCTAAAAATAAGGCCGTCGAAAATTAAGCCTTATAAAAAAGGTGGCCGAATATAGTAAGATATACGATACTAACGTCTATATTAGTATACGCCTTCGGGAAACCGGCTAAGTCTTTCTCTTATTAGCGGATACTTCGGGATTTTAGGCTTTCCTTAGCTCGTAATTAGTATATTTCTAACTATATCTCTAATGAAAAGTCGACTAACCTATCAAGAACTCCTACTATCCAGCCCTAAAACTAGTAACCGACTAGGATCTAAATCTTATTAATAAAGATACGCCGGAATAATATATATAAAGTTGTAATATAAAAGCGGTACTTCTACCATACTAAAACCTTTATAATTAATAATTTATTTGCTTTTATCTTAGTTAGCGACTTGAAATAACTATTAGTGGTCTTTCTTAATAGTTTAAGGTAGTGAGCGTAAAGCACGATAAGCTATGGTTCCTAAGTGGATTGATCTTCTATACGCATAGGTTCTCAATACGCCCGAGGATCATAGGAATCTAAATGGCCCAAGTTATGTGGTCGGTTTATCGCTTATGTAATTCACCGCCGTAGCAACAAGTCGATTTCTATATGTATGATTAGGCCTATTGATGGATTGATGGGAAGTTCTCATGAAGATTGAAGTTCAGCTCGCGCCCCAGCCCCAGCTTGTTGGTCTCACCGATCCTGTTCTTGTAGAAGTTCAAGCTTCGCTCCATGATCACCGTCAAGTCTCCGAGGATTTCGGAGGATTGCCAACTTTACCTCGTCCCCTTCCTAGGTCAAGCACAGGTATGCGGCAGCTCTGCGGTTATCTTATTACGTTGACTGATATTTCCCAGACAACCCGATTGACGTTGATGCTCTCAGTGACCCAGATATCGAAACTCGCGTCTATCCTCATGACTTGCCCCGCGCCGGCGACAGTATTGGTTTGTTGAGGTACTTCTCCTGCCGGAGACAATGAACTGATCAGCAGCTAAAGAACCCGATCGATCTTGATGCGGACTCTGTGGCAGTGAGCGATACAACTAAACCCCTTCCCAGCTTACCAGCAAGCCCGGCCCCAGTTGAACTTAGACCAGATGGTGAGGAACGACTTGAACAAGCCTCAGCGGCAAATCAAGCCTATTTTATATCGACCTCTTATCCTTGCAATGATGAAAAGTAGTCCTTCACCTCTCTTCACACACTCAGTCTACTTCGCAATAAGAATGAACACTCTTCTAAGGCTTGCACCTACCATGCGGGCAGGGGCCTTGACCATCACAAGTCTCAGCCGGAAGCAAGTCAAAGATTTTGCACAAAATTCCACTAGAAAGGCCCATCCCATACATTCAAGGCTCACGACTGCTGGCCACAAGTGTTCGGTCTTGAAATCACAGGCACAGTCTTATCATCGGGAAGGAGGTTCCTTTCAACCAACCCAGTTAGGTGAACTTCGCTTCTTCCAGATACCGTTGCCATCGTCCAAGGAGAACTTTTAACCTTCCCTCGGGGATGATGCTGAGCGGCCTGGGGTGGTGCCACCCAACGCTAGACTGCTCTTACGAAGACTGATTTCAGAGGCTGATTCCAGACTGCCAAACAGGGGGACCCTCACTGCTCTCGGAGAACTTCTTTGTCTAGACACATTCCACTTCCGAGGATAGCTCCCATAACAGGCAGTTGAGGCCTACATTCTAAGTTATCATATCAATCACGAATCCTTCAGCCTCCGCAATGCGTGGGGAACATGATAGTAGAGTTTCTAGAGTGAGAGGTCTACCATAGATGTACGTTGTAAAACAGCCTACTAGAAAACTCTAGAAATAGTACAATACAACTGTCAATTGAACAGACTTGCTCCTCATACTGAACACAGTTCTTTCCTGACCGCAACAAACCACTACTGCTTACCCACACATACATAGTAGCCAAGCCACAAATTCTTGCAGCCATCTCCCACATAGGGATTCCACGCGAGGAAGTCGGCCTGTGAGATCCCGTACTGCGTTGCGATACTTGCACATATGTCTCCATCCTCAACCTTGTGAAACTGAATACAGCCATCGACCATCTTCGGCAAGGTGGGCGTTGGCGTCGCCTCAGAGGTCGGTGAAGGGCTCAGTGTGGTGGTAGGGCTGGGGTTAGAGCTTGGGCTAGCCTCCACACAGACATAATTGTCAAGCCACAGATTTGTACAATTAGTTCCCACATCTGGGTTCCACGTCAGGAAATCAGCTCGTGAGATCCCATATTCCCTCGAGATCGTTGCGCAGTTGTCACCGTCAACCACCATATGGAATTTGGTGCAGCCTTTTGTCATATTTGGCTGGGTTGGGGTTGGAGTGACCACGCCTGGACTGGTGGATGTGGGTGGAGGGGTACCACTAGTAGACGTCGGTGTCGAGCCCACGCAGACATAATTGTCAAGCCACAGATTTTTACAATCGGCTCCCACGTCTGGGTTCCATGTCAGGAAATCAGCTTGTGAGATCCCGTATTCCTTCGAGATCGTTGCGCAGTTGTCACCGTCAACCACCTTATGGAACTTGGTGCAGTCTTTTGTCATGTTTGGCTGCGTGGGCGTTGGAGTGGCGATGCCAGAAGTGGTGGTTGTTGCTGGAGAGCTATCTGTTGTGCTGGCACTGCTCGAGGTAGGCGTGCAGCTTGTGGGAATGGCGCTCGGGGATGGGGACGGAACTGGGTCTGTAGGGCCCAAATCACAATAACTTTCGTAAAGCGAATAGCAGTTATCCGATAGATCATCCTCTGGGATAAAGCCGTTATTCTCATCTTCGGCGGTAATCCAGCAGTACTTGGTTCGTTCAGCGAGAAGGCTTGAGAGTGTGGCGTTTGGCGTGAATGTGGGAATGGAAGGCGTGTAGTTTGGATCAATGATAGGCGAATACCATGAAGTGGTGATATTATCCATTGTGGTTACCGGAGTTCCTGGTACCCATGAGGTAATTAAAGAAGACGGAAGCCCGGCGGATGTTTTATTTGTGCTGTCGGGGAGGCTGAACTCTCCTCCTCCTGGGGGCCTATTTCAATTAGAATAGCTCCATGCCATTGGGACACGACTTACGATATGCAAATACTTCTTCCCACCATCGAATCAAGATTATCGCAGTTTTGGTGTATTGTTCTGAATGCTTGGTGAGTCCGCTGTCAAAAAGTCAAGTCGAAGGTAGGCTAACGTACGGATTCCATCCTATCAGTTGCACCAATCCAAATGACTGGGCTTTGATAATATCATTGCATGTTTGATTCTGCTGCACTGTAAACACAGTACAGGTGTCTTGGATGCAAAGCGGCGTCCCAGAAATGAGCATTGAGCATGAATAGTCAAGTTTATTCACCTTGATAAGCTGATCGGTACTGACAGAGTTAGCTTTAGAAATTGACTTGCAAGTATCCCCTTCGATCGATATATAGGTGTGGCCAGTACAAGTCGGTGTGGCGGTGGTCGATGTTGCGCCTGTTGGCGTGGATACCATCGTGGTCGCCGTTGGCAAAGGCGTGTAGGTATACGGATAGCTCGAGGCTGGAACGCTGCAAGACGAAAGCAATGACGAGAAGGCGGCTGGCGGGAACTTGTTACGTCCGTAATCAGAGCTCATCATGATCGAGCCGTACTTCAGGGTGCAATCAGAACACGGGGCCTTGGTTCGATTATAGAGATCAGCCAAACAGTACCCAGACCTGGACTTGGTCAGTGTCTATTCCAGGGCCTATACGGCCTTTCCGCAGGAGATACACACGCGTCTTGGATACACATCAGGCTATACGCCCACACCAACCCATCAGCTACCACCGCGGGCGATTGCGTTGTCGTGCTATTCTTGTATAACTGGTACTCCTTCTTTCCGCAGGCCGAAAGGATGCTCTCCTGGAAGGTCTGGAGGGAATCGTGACATTCTTTCGTGCAATATGTCTTGGCAGCCACCCCAACCAGTGCGGCCCCATTCGCAGCATCCTGTGCAGTAACAAGGCTGTTCGCGCAAGTCATATTGTAAGTTAGGGCATTTCGACAATCAGAGGGGACCGCGGTAGGGATGTCATCTAGACTGTCCCAGACCTGGATCGCAGCAACATTTTGCCCAAAAAAGGGCAAAACGAAGGCAATACCGACACTGGTGAGAAGCATTGCGTTCAATGTCAACAAGTCAAAAAATTTTAATGGTTTCTAAAGTCAGAATTCGGGAAAAGCCTCCATAACTGTGTCTCGCGGGAGCTCGGAAGTTATTCCTCTTCCGAAAAAACTATAATAACCGATGGATGGTCTTATAACACTAAGACAGCGCTAGAGTAAGGTACTTACATAAATTAGTAGGATGCACGAAATTTGGCCCCCATCAAACCCTCTCGGATAACGGATTGGGGCTTGGTTAGCTTAATTGCACTACTGCACAAGTAAGACATCTTAGGACCCACTTAACCCACAAACGGAGATTAAATGAAGCTTCTTAGGGGCAGCAGGATCCCAACCCTCGAGGTTTTCTTTCTTGGCAGCGCACTAAGAGGTGTGATTTAGCAGTAGTTCAATTCTTCCACGGCTATACGGCACTGAAGTTGGGGTTTCTCATTCAGTTAGAAACGGAGAATTCAGCTAAAGCAGCCAATCTATTATTTTAGAGCTAAGAGGATGGGCAAGTCGTTGATATTCCAAATTTACTCTAGGAAAAATCCCCCTCCTTCGTTCACTCCTTTTCTTGCTTTCTTTTGTCCTGTCACTCTCTACTTATAAAATATTTCCGACAGTGTTGAGTTATCCATACCCGACTCGCTTCACCCGTACATGGGATCATGGAGAGACCCTTCCATTTGCTCTGGAAGATGAACTCTCTTACCTGGCCATTGCTGTTTATCTGTTTGATATTGCTTCAGCTTCCCTCGGCTATTGCCCAGGGACCTGGTGAGCCGGGAGGCACTTGCACAGATTCAATTCCATGTTACCAAGGCTGCTGTAGCAAAGACTATGCATGTGGTTTTACCGACGCTCATTGCGGGACTGGTTGCAGGAGTAACTGCAATGCGACGGCAGAGTGCGGAGAGTTCGCTGCTCCAGGTAATTCTGACTGTCCTATTAATGTCTGTTGCAGGTAAGTTAGCGGTCCGACCCAGGGGGTTTTCGTTCTAACGACTAACGGTTGGCAGTTCATTCGGATACTGCGGTGTCACTTCTGAATTCTGCGGCAACGGTTGCCAAAAAAACTCCAATGGTGGGGGTTGCGGCGAACCAGAGTATGTCTGCTTCGGCCGCTCATGTGGAATATAAGTACTAAAACCATTCAGTCGCCCGAAATGCTCCGAGAATACTGATGCCATGTCCTATGATCGACGTATTGGATATTATGAGTTGTTCAACATCCATAAAGGATGCAATGTGATTGAGCCAGAGAGTCTGATCATTGAGCCGTTTACTCATATCAACCTGGCCTTTGTCAACTTTGGTGACGATTTCAAGTTGGAAGACGAGTACGGCGACGTTGTGGACCGGGTGTCGTTCTTGAAGTTTACCCACCCAGGGCTGCGGGTCAACATCGCGGTTGGGGGGTGGACCTTTAGTGATGCTCCGACGCAGCACCTTTGGACTCAGAGTAAGTGACTCAATTGGCAATTTGAATCCATGCGCACACTGACGCTGGACGCAGTGACACGCTCATACGAGAATCGTCAGACCTTCATCAACTCAGTGGTCAAATACCTGAAGGATTACCACCTTGACGGTATTGACATTGACTGGGAGTATCCGTCCGCATCGGATCGGGGCGGAGAACCTCAAGACGCGGCGAATTTTGTGACCCTTTTGGGTGAGCTGCGGGAGGCCTTCGATCGCGAGAATCCTGGCTGGGAGATCTCGGCGACACTCCCAACGAGCTACTGGTACTTACGCGGATTTGACCCTGCTGGCATGGCTAAATATGTCGACTACTTCAATCTCATGAGCTACGACCTGCACGGAATGTGGGACCAAGACATCACATGGACTGGTCCTTACCTCAAAGGCCATACAAACATCACTGAGATCGACCTCGGTCTTGACCTTCTTTGGCGCAACGGCATTGACCCATCCAAGGTTGTCTTTGGCTTTGCATTCTATGGTCGCTCCTTTACCATGGCAGACCCCAATTGCTATCAACCCAATGGCAAATGCGAATTCTCGGACGGTGGAATACCTGGATCATGCTCTGACACCTCGGGCATCCTGACATACGCCGAAGTCACGTCAAGGAACAACTCCCTTGATGTCCATACGTTCTATGATCCGGAGACAACGGTCAAATATAATGTTTACGAGGGGACCCAGTGGATCTCCTATGACGATGAGCAATCCTTTTTCGACAAAAAGAAGTTCATCTCCAGCCGATGCCTGAGCGGGTGGATGATCTGGGCAATCGACCAGGATGATGGCGATTTTGACGCACTTGCCGGAGTTATTGGCGAGGACCTCTCAGTCATGCAGATGGAGGGTGGTGGCTTATCCGGGGATGCTGCCAACGTCCTGGCCGACGCCTTTGCCGCCTATACTGGCCAAAACTGCTTCGTCACACCGCGCTGCACTGACGGCTCCAGTGGGGAGAAGAACCCCGACCAGGTGTGCCCATCAGGATACATGTCGGTCAGCACTGCACACAATCCCCTGCAGGCGGGCAATAAGGAGCTCCGTGGCGACTGCTCTGAGGGATGGTATCGGCACATCTGCTGTCCCGAGGATGCCATGCCCAAGAACTGCGAATGGAACGGGGCGCCCGAGCGAAGCGAGTTCGGCTGCGACGGCAAATGCGGGAGCAACCAGTTCAAACTGAATCAAGACACCGCGCTGGACGCCAAAGGTGAAGGGCAATGCTTTATTGGCGAACGCTACCTATGCTGCGATTCCGCAGCCATGTTCTCCGATTGCAGGTGGACCAATTGCCAAGGGCCGCTGATGCCTTCCACCCCAGGCGAATGCCCGGCAGACAATGATGCCCTGACATTCCGCTGGGATAAGCCAGATGGCAAGCCGTGGTGCTCCGATACTTACGTATCGTCTGTCGACGGCTCTGTTGGTAGCCCGCTGCACGACCGCTTCAAAAGCGAGCTCTGCTGTCCATCAGATCACAGTTTTAGCGTCAGTGGTTGCGCATGGACCAACACCCTTTCCCAGGCTGACATGACAGACGACGACTGGGCGGAACATCTCACGGATCTCGTCTGTAAACCGCGTCCCTGCTCACCTGGAAAGGTAAAGGTAGCTGGTGCGCTCGATCCGCCACCGGCGACGGGCGCAGGATCCAAGTCGGAGATTAACTGCGCTGGAGTCACTATCCCGCCTGGCAGTAATCCTGAATGGTCGTTCTGTTGTGATCCACCGAGTCGATACGACAAGAACTGGCCCGTTGATCCCAAGTACCTATGGGAAAAATACTATAACGACCCTAAGAAGTCGGATGTCGTTTGGGAATACAGCGATGAGTACCAGAACAACAACATGGATAGCGAGCCCTCTACGGAGGAGGATGGCAGCGACGCCTATGGATTTGTGATGCTCGACGGACCCGATGGATCCATCGACAACGACTTCGCGACGTCGCATACCGTTGTACGTCGTTCCCGGGAAATCCCCCGAGTCAAACGTTCCGTTTTAACAACGAACCAAACTCTCATGGATACCGTCTTCGACCACGCGGAGGAGACATTCCATTTTTACTGCGACTATCCCGCAGGATCCCACGAATGCGAGCGTGTCTTCATCGATGGCGCCGAGGACACAATCATCCGGCTTCCAGACCATGTCGGCGACGGCCCGTTTGCCCGAATTGTCTCCATGAAAACAGCCCACGACGAGTATCAACTTCCGGATCATCATTTGGAACATCGGTCGCTCGAGCGCAACACGAACCCCGTCTATGAGGTGAAGATAGACTATAATTTCCATCTGATTAAGCTCAAGCGAGATGATGAGCCCGTGAACATTCGCGTGGACTATACGAATCTGATGGGATACTGGGATGAAATGACCAACTCGCCAGCTAGCCGCGCGAAACGTGGCCTTGGAGAAGAGGGCCTCACCAAGGATGAGTGGCGCTCCCGAGTTCAACGGGCCGTTGTACGCCACGGTAATATCGAGAAGCGTAGTGAGGCTATTCATGTGAAAACACCAATGGAGTTCTCCGGCTCCCACCTCGACAAGCGGTGGTGGGGTGCGTTCAAAGCCTGGCTACAGAAACTGGCATGTATTCCCCTGGTGACTGCGTACTCTTTGCTCCAAATACATACTAACGTCCATGCCAGACTACGGTAACCAAATCCAGTTTGGGCGTGATCGAACTGGGATTCTCCAAGACCATCAACTTGTTCCGGGCGCAATGGGGATGTCCCGGCCAGACATTCTCAGCTAACCTCCGGATGGATTTGGAAGCTGACCTCGTGATGGATGCCACTTATGCCTACTATTTATCCGCCACCTTCATCCCCCCCGGCAAGCCCGAAACGTTTGCTTACTTCGGAATGAATCCAACTGCTTATCTCGGACTCCACATCGAGGGAAATGCGCAGATGCAGACAACAACCGACCGCAAGAAGATCATTGACACCCTTTCCTATCCTGGACTGGCCGTGAAGGGAATTGCGGCAGTCGGACCAACACTAGACATTTATGGCGAAGTAAGACTTTAAAACCTCCCAGTAGATATGCATATAAACTGACATCGATCCAGATCCGAGGCAAGGTAACTTTGCATGGCGAGGCGACTGCCGGAGCACAACTGTCCTTCGGGAAGGCGGAGGTTTACTGGCCGCAGAATGATGATGCAAAGGATAAGTATGAGACACTGCTAGGGCTCCAAAGTGACGTACAGGCGCCCGCTCCTGGTTCTGTTGAGCCAGTCTTTGAAGCAGGTGTGGCTCTGGACGCGCAACTCGACATTATCGTAACACCGGAGGCACATGTTGGTATCAAAATCGGCGGCGGGAAACTCGTCGGCGGTGCTACCCTAATGGACGCGCAGTTAACCGGCTACGTAATGGGCGACTTATCCTTCCAGGCTCACGGTGATTATGACACGACTGGTAACGAGTTCAACTACAGCTTCGGAGCGTACCTCTTCTACAATCTCGGGTACAAGGCCACGGCCCAAATTCTCAACTTCATCGATTGGGCACTAGCGCCTCGACTGGCATACGACCCGCGTAAGACGTTCAAGCTGTACGAGAAGAAGGGTTCAATCCCAATGTCGTCATCAGCTAAATCAAAGCGCGAGGCCGCCATCGATGGCCCTTTGCACCGGAATCTTGTCGAGGTCGGCTCGTTGACCAACGGCTCTATCTCTACATACCTTGATTCCGCCTCGGGTTTGTCCAAACGTGGTGATGAAATGGATATCGGTACGTGAAAAGTCGCCCTCTTAAGTGGCTTCCAAAAGTGTCCCAGCGCTTTGAGTTACTGATGATTCCAGATGGCCCCAATGCTCCAGAGTTTACGCAGAACCTCAAGTGCCCCCCGGGCACCAGTGGAGACGTTCGGCTGCCCGAAATTCGATGTAAGCCAACCCAGCCTCAACCAACCCTCCCTAAACAAAAAGTCCATCATTCTTTCCGATTATCGTTGCTGACTGAGGACAGTTAACTGTGACTTCCTCAACGACTTTATTGAAGAAGGCAAAAATGGCAAAATGGATGCTATTACCGGTCTCTGTACGCCCGTGCTGAACATCCCTGACAATAAACGCCAGAAGCTATTCACCTTCTCGAATGACAAATTAAGGAAGGAGGCACGATATAACGCACAATGTAAATCAGGGACCTGCACGCAGGCAACTACTGACTTGCGAGACCACCAGGGGAATAAGAAGCTGGAGCTGCAGTGCGACGAGTTCCCCTGGAAATCTTCCGAGCAAGGCGGCGACTATCTCGCTAGTGACGCTCGCACAGGTACCTGCGTGGCATCTTACCAGAATAACTGGCATGGGCAATGTCTTCGTAAGTCACGTCATGGTCTGTTGGTCACCTTTGTAGGACTTTGCTGATTGGTTCCTATAGGGATGATAGGATACATGCAATCAAACTGGGCCAAGCTTGAGCCTGAGAGGGAAGACGGAGACGACCGCGGCGACTTCTGGCAGGATTGGAGAGAGGATTGTATGACTCTATCTTTCACTCAGTCTTCTTTTAAAAAGATACTAATGCCAACCCGCAGCATGGACAAAACCTGGGCAGCACGGATCTAAAGGTTCGCAATACGAGCAGAGACTGAAGGAATACCCCGAAAAGCAGCCCCTGCCTGACGGAGTCACCACGCGAGTAAGTGTCACCAACTCATATCCAGAGAGGTAAACAACATTTCTGACTTTAATTAGAACAACGATAAAATATCCTGGGTGTTTAAACGGGACTACGAAGTATCCTTCATCCGTCAAGACCCAAGCACTATCGATGGTAGTACGTGGTGGGGAGCGACGAGTCACAAGTTCCAAAAGACGACCCACAGTGGCCCATCAGGGATGGATGCCATCTTTTGCGCGATTAACCATTTTGGCCAGGATAACGTATATAAGTTGCCAAACGGCTATAATGGCCTTTGCCGAAGGAACAACGGTAGCCCCCTCACAGGTTGGAATGTCGGCTTCAACATGGCTAGGTGCGAGGTGAAGTTTGCGAACCCCAGTAGTAGTAACAAGCGAAGTATCGGCACCTTTGCTGGGTGGGAAGTGGAAAGTGTGCGAATGCTGGATGAGGACGACCATGAATAGGAGGACAAAATAGTGCTAGTAGTATAGAAATGTATTCTGATCCTTTGTTTTGATTGCCGCTATGAACCGCGAGACTAAACGTAAGATTCAAAGTGTTGTATAGTCTATGGTATTAAGCAGGGGAATCTCTGAATCGTATAGGATATTGTACCGTCAACAATTGTAGGAATTAACAAGGTGGTGGTTTTTATTTATATGTGCTTCACGGGCGGACTTTGATGACTAATCAGTTCTGATATCACTACATGCAAACAGTGCAAAATAGAGGGCCTTTCCATCTACCGTCCAGAGCTCTGTTTTGTTGCCCATGACAGTAATGGACAAGGCATACCTTCCGCAATGGGGCCAGTTACCCGTCGAGCATTACTTGATCGTGAGTGTCTTGCGCCAATGTTGTTGTTTCCCCTGCGTGGCTAATATCTATAAAGAAACAATGGGATCACTCCTCATCTGAGCCTACTGGAGACCAGCGCCTCCGACTGATCCATCAGTTCTTAGATCTAGATGAGATTCCGCAGGAACTGGACCCTACTGGTCATACCTCGGACACTTACGAAACACTGTCACCTACGGCCTATGAGATTGACACTATCCTTCGCCCCTGGCGCTCTGATGACCTACGGAAGATAGCGTGGAGGATTTGGGGGTGTCATAATGATCAGTTGATTTTGTTACGCACCCACTACAATGCCGATGACAACCACAAGATCACGGAATTAGTAGGGTCCGATGAGCTCCACGAGGAGAGGACAGCCTGGTGGGCACTTCTTGATAATCCCAAACTCTTCAATTTTGGTGACCAGTGGTGGCGAGTCTTCGATATCTTGCCAGAGTTAGCCGGCCCTTTGAATGGTTATAGCCGCCTGCCAGACCCAGAAAGTATCTCACGGGAGAGACAGGATTTTAAGGAGAGACTACCGACCCTCAAACAAAGCGACGAATGGACGGCGAATCGTGATAATTATATTGAAAGAGAGTTTGCATACCTTCGGCGAATAGCTTCAGAGGGCTATCTTGCTATTGCGGATCAGGAAGCTTTTGAAACAGATATGCTACGGTTAATCTATTATGATGGGAAGAGGAATATTGTCCAAGAGACCCGGACAGAATTCGATGAGCAGACATTTGCTGATGTTGCCGTTGAATGGGATCAGTTGTCGCTTCCTATGCAATTATGGGAGGACGGAAAGACTGGTGAGAAGTATCGAGTGAATGGGGAGCTGGGAAGGGAGTTATATCAGCTAGATGAGGCTGATCTGGAATAAGCATGGCCATGTCGAATCTGGTGGACTCGTGGCACATGATCTCGTTCGTTTGCTCGTTGGGCTTCATGTATTTAGGCGCTGCCTCTTCAACAGAGGGACTCTTATCTTCAAGCATCTTCATCGTCTTTATCGTCAATTCAATCGTTTATCGTCGCTCCAATTGCTTGAACATATGAGCGTTACTAGCGCCAATATGATAGCAGGTTGGAATCAACGGACAAATTCTCCCGGACCCCGGCTAGGATGCGTATTGACCGGTCATAAAACATCTGGTAAAGTCGCTCCCTCCAGAACAGTTTACGGTGACCTCCTTCGTTTACGTCCTCGTCTCCTCTATTCATCTCGGAAGCGCCTCAGAGGGTAAATTGGTCCTGCGACGGGTACGTCGCAATGACAGTCTAGGATCTCTTCAAATCTCTAATCCTACCACAGAGTCAATCACTCAAGACCAACTCCTCGCAAAAAGATGCACCTGAGGCCAGATCCCAGCAATTCCCGCAGCTCCACGCACATTGAGAGAGTCAGACATTCCTAATGGCATAGGAATGAAACCCGATTGATGAGGGAACCATGTACAGGTCTCAACTATACGTATCACTCTGTTCAGCGCCCCTGGCCAGCAGCAGCCGCATTATGGCCTCATGTCCGTTGGATGATGCCTCTTCAAACGCACTGCCGCGGTCTCCACCCCGTACGTTGATATCGGCACCTCGAGCTAGTAGGATCTGCACAACCTTTTCATGCCCCTCGGCTGATGCAGCTTGAAGTGCACTGTGGAGCCCTTCACTGTGAGAATTGATGTCCGCGCCTCGGTCTAGCAGAAGATGCACAATCTTCTCATGTCCTTCAGATGCTGCGACATGTAGTGCAGTGCCACACTCCTCATCATTGAGATTGACATCGGCGCCCCAATCTAGTAGAATCTGCATAATCTTCTCATGCCCTTGAAATACTGCAGCTTGGAGTGCAAGTGACACAATTCTCACTGAGATTGACATCGGCGCCACGATTTAGCAAAACCTGCACGATATTCTCATGACCTCCAAACGCCGCGAGTTGGAGTGCACTACTCGACTCCCAATTGGCATTGATATCTGCCCCCCAATCTAGCAGCATCTTTAACGTGTCTTCAAACCCTTTAGACGATGCACACATCAGTGCGGTAAGGCCGCTTTTTCCCGGGGCATTGACATCGGCGTCACGGTCCAACAGCATCCGGACGATTGCATTTTGTCTTTTGTTCACCGCGTGAGTAAGTGTCGGATAGACGGGATCGCCTCTGATACTCCGATCTGCGGCTTGCATACTGAGATCCGCACCGTGGTCAAGTAGCATCTGCACAATGGTTTCATGGCCATTGGATGATGCAAAATGAAGCGCAGTACTGTCATACTCCCCTTTCCGAGCATTACACTGGCGCCTCGATCTAGCAGTACCTGCACAACCTTCTCATGCCCTCTTTGTGCAGCGGTGTGCAGTGGATTCCAGAGTTCCCCTTCCTGGGCATCAATATCAGCACCGTGGTCGAGCAGTGACCGTACAATATTGGCATTCCCGCTGAACGACGCGGATTGGAGTGCACTGCCTTTATCCAAGTCCGAGGCGTTGGCGTCTGCGCCTCGATCTAGGAGCATTTGTACGATCTCTTCGTAGCCTCGATACGACGCAGCTTGAATGGGAGGACTGTCATAATATTGCAACTCTTGGTATTTCTCATTTTAATGATACTAGGAGGAGGTGATTGCTCTAGCGATCCTCGCCTCGAGGACTTCGCCCAAGTAATGTCAGCTACCTTGCTCTCCTTTTTGCTTATTCTCAAAGTGAGGCGATATCTGGCATTCTCATCGCACTTGCGTGCACATACTATATCCATGTATGCAATATCCTACCCCACACCGAGTTGGGCGGATAGGTTCGTGCCGGCGTGCTGGCGGGCTGTCATATGTATGAGATGCATACTCGTCTGGCACCACGACAAAAGATAGAGACGCCAGGCGGCACGTTCTGATTGGGGTTTTAAAGGAATGTAAGCTACGTTGTGCCAATAGGATCCGTTGTCTGCCCCTAGTGCGGGCTGCTGCATCCGCGACTCGAAAATCATAGAACGAGGCTCGCAGGAAGAACAGGGCCACGTTGCAAACCTCATGCAAGGCCTGTGAGGTGTTAAGTCTGACTGGAGTCCCAGGAAATCGTTGACCTCGGTACCAAAGAATATCCCAGGCGAAGATGACTCGGGTTGCAGCTTGGGACGCTCTCGACCTTCAAATTCAACGACGGGAAGGGGCGTGTGCCGTCCAAAATCTATTTCTCGTCGAAACGAGCGGATGGCAAAATGGAGAAGCAGTAGGCAACGTTGTCGGGTCAAGTAGCTCGGCCCCTTTCGAGATAATTGTCCAGATGGCTGTGTCATGATATCTTTTGAGGATTTCCTGGCCTGCAAGGAAAGCATTCTCTTTTTTCAGCAGGGAGACTGCTCGCGCATAGTCAAGCTTAGAGATATAGTCTATCCATTCTCGAACTGAATGTGCTTGACGGTGTCTCATCTCAGGAGGGCCGGATACTCATCATGACCACGAACCATAGGCTTTTCTCCTAACTTCCTCCCTCCCTCGCTCGATGGCGATATACTTTGCTTCATTACGCTACTTGGGTGAATTTTCTGGCCACTTTCTGGTTCGAGCCCAATACTCGACAGGCAAAACCTGTTGATTGGTCTCGCTGAAGACTGTAGTGGCAAAATCATGCCAGAGGTTGCAGGTGCTTTCACTCTGTCAACGTGTAATGTTCAACATTGGACCCAGCGTTACTGTACGTGATCGGCGCCCTCAATTAATTGAGCGCGTTGAAATCTGTCCTCCCGGCCGTCCGCCAACGACCTCAACAAGCGGAAGCCCTTAACTGCTGGAGACATACATCTTACCAGGCATGTTCAGTCCTTACGCAGGATACCGAATGCTCCTATGATGAGACATTACGTTCCTGGGAACGAGGTGTCTGTTCCTACGAAAGGGTTGACATTTCACAGGAATAGCGTACCCATACTTGTGAGTTTATCCACTTTCAGGAGTCTTACAGCTGTTCTGTGGAGTTGCCTCGCACCGAGTCCGTGCTCTTGATAGTCTGCATTGTGGCTTATGTGGTGGCTTCGGTGTATCTTTACCAACGAGCTCCAGACCCTGGTGGTTACTAGTTTTGGGGCTGTACAATACGACAAGTTCTCATTGTGAGGTGAAAGCTTATTGTGGAGGAGAGCCAGTCGGCCACTAATAACTTCTGGGAGCTGTAGGTCCTCTGAGAATTCTCCATACGTGTCCATGACAGTTGTACTATAGGCTGCGTCGATCGAAGATATTGCAAGCGTCTTGGTTGGCGAGTGTGGGTTTTCGTAAGTGTGTTTTGCACGGTCATGTTTTGCTACTCCAAGGTGGAGAAAGGAGTGAGAGAGGACCAATCACACGTTATATTTCCCCCCGACACGCCCATTGGATACATGGTTGTGAAGCGCCTTGTTTTAGACGACATGATTTATGGCTTGCTGGACTCTCTAGTCTTGTGCGGAATTTTGCAGATGTTGATTGCCAGGACTGAGGACACTCCCGCACTATCACTCCAAGTATACCGTGTGATTGGTTCACCGCTACTCATTTCTCCACCTTGGAGTAACTAAATTATTTGTTCCAAGAGGTAAGTCATATATCTGTAAGAGTGGTATCATATGACGTATAGCCTCTCCTAAGGCTTGTGCTCTCCGGTGATGTCTCATATAAACGTATTACTCTCAAGAGGATCCTCACAAAAGGGTTTCCCTCTGAAAACAGGGCCCTTAATACGTTCTTTTCAAGCTATCGTGATTCCAGCAACGCATGGTTGTACTCTCGTGATAGCCTGCTTATAGTGAAACACACAAAATCCTCTGTACGTTATACATGCAGAACCAACAGATGCCTCTCGGATGGTAAAATGTCCTGAGACGTTTCTCTAGTAAGTACACTCATGTTTGTACAACCAAAGCTCCCAGGGTACGACCTCTCGTTCCGGAGCTATACAGTTCACTCCCGGGAGCTGTAGGTTCTCTGGGAACTAAGATTTTTACTCCTGGGAGCAATCATAAGCGTTGTCAAGGATATACATGAAGCATACGGAATGGATGGAGATATGATCTGCGCGGGACCCACTTAGTGTATATGGGTTCCCCTGAACGCGAGAAAGCTACCTTTCTTTTGCTTCCTCGCGCTACGTCTTGTATCTAGAGTCAACCATAGTTGTTCTTAATATCGATTGTTCATCTTGAAACACTATCCACCTCTATGTATACGTGAGACCCTCACAAGCATGCCTAGGAACCATGCCATAGGTCCTGGGGTCGAATATGATCCCAGGAACGTGAGTGTCGCACTCGTGAGATAAAATGTGGAATCTGGAATGGGTAATCAATATTAGAAATACAAATTGAAATGCGGGCAATAAGTGCGGGCAATAGAAAGAAGTGATTAACTAGGCTAAAAAAAGGTGAAAAGACACTATTCGAAGAGAGAAATGATATTGATAAACGATAAAATGCAATAGTTGTTTAGGAGTTGACTTAACGACGCTTTCCTCGACATATATTAGTAGAATAAACGAAACGTCATCGACTAGTGGATAATAGACAAATATAAGGGTCAACGGGTAAGCAAACTTATAGCCGGTGATTAAACTAATGAATTAGTTATCTTAGAATCCGAGTACAATATGGTCGAAAATAATAAATAAACGAATTTATTCATTCGTTTTCTTATTAGAATAAGTGAAAGAAGTAGGGGTGTTTATTAAATATTATTAGCTAGATAATAGTCTCCACTCTAAATCACGCGTATTTCCTAATACCTAGGCACCCCCTAAGTCTACTATAAGAATTTATTTCACCCTACTCACCCTAAGTTTAATGTCTTCCTAGATAGGCCCGTGGTATATCCACTTTTCTGCTATATTTCCTATATCTCCGGCCTAAGCGCTCTTATCGTACCTATTGGCTAATAACAGTTCTCTATAATAATTAAAGGAAGCTATATACTAAAGCTTAGCGTGGAAAATTCTTTAATCTTTATAAGAACTTCCTATTAATCTATTAATAGGCCTAATTATATATATAGAAATCGACTTGTTACTATAACGGTGAATTATATAAGCGATAAACCGACTAACGTATTTCACCACCGAGCCGGCCACACCACCGAGCCGGCCACCCCACCCAAAACGCGTTAATTGATTCAAACCCTTCTTCTTCAACCACCCACCATGCCACCAATTCGCTCTCAAAGCTCTAAA